TCGAACTGGGTCTGGAGCGTGTGTGCGGAACGGAGTGTGGGCGGTCTGAACCCCACTTACCTTTTATTGCGAGTTTTTGCCCTAGAACGGACGTTCCAATTAATGGAGACCGCTCGTTCCACATATTCAGAACGGACGTTCTGGTAACGTAGTCCGTCCGTTCCATATTCTAGAACGGACGTTCCGTGTGAATTCGTAGACCGTCCGGTCTGCTTTTTTTCCAGGCAGCTTTCCGACTTCGCTTTTCGATTCCCGTTTTCCTGCATCACAGCTTGTCTAACCCGGTTCTAAACAACATCAATCATACCAGGAAAGCATCAAACCCAATCAAGAGAGTGCAAATGAATGATTCTAAATGAGATGCAAATGCTAAAAAGGATACGAAAAAGGATATACACAAGCTCGGGGTACCTCCCGAGAGCGCTTATTTATGGTCCTAAGCTTGACCGTGTCTGCTCCTACTCGTCTTGAGGATCAGAGAAGCTCATCGAGCCCCTCTCTTTGTCATGTTCCCCGGGGTTGTAGATCTTCAACCGTTGCGCGTTGGTCTTGAATGTATCCCCTCCATAACCATATAACTCTATCGCTCCATGAGGGTAAGCGTGCTTAACCGTGAAAGGCCCCGACCAACGCGATCTCAACTTCCCTGGAAATAGTTTGAGCCTTGAATTAAAGAGGAGTACCTGATCACCCGATCTGAATTCTCTCTGCAAAATCCGACGATCGTGCCATCTCTTAGTCCTCTCTTTGTAAATCCGGGCATTCTCGTAAGCATCCAACCGAATCTCATCGAGTTGGTGAAGCTGTAACACTCGCTTCTCCACAGCGGATATCCAATCAAAGTTCAGCTTCTTGATTGCCCAATATGCCCTGTACTCAAGCTCAACCGGCAAATGACAAGCTTTCCCATAGACAAGTTGAAAGGGAGACATACCGATGGGTGTCTTGAAGGCTGTCCTATACGCCCATAGAGCGTCATCAAGCTTGGATGCCCAATCTTTCCTTGACCTTGACACCGTCTTCTCAAGTATTGCCTTGATCTCCCTATTCGAGACTTCAACTTGCCCGCTCGTCTGAGGGTGATACGGGGTACCCACCTTATGTCTCACACCATACTTCTTCAAAAGCGCTTCTATGGTGCGATTGATGAAGTGAGATCCTCCATCGCTAATCACAACCCTTGGCGTCCCGAATCTCGGAAAAATCACCCTCTTGAACATCTTCGTCACCACTTTCGAGTCATTAGTGGGATTCGCCATTGCTTCTACCCACTTGGTGACATAATCGACCGCCACGAGGATGTATTGGTTCCCATAAGAAGATGGGAATGGTCCCATGAAGTCTATGCCCCATACATCGAATGGTTCAACTTCCAAGATATATCGTTGAGGCATTCCGTGGCGGCGGGAGATGTTCCCCTTCTCTGGCAAGCATCACAGGATGAGACGTATTGATGAACGTCTTTAAACATTGACGGTCAATAGAACCCGGCTTGAAGAATTTTAGCCGAGGTCTTCGATGCTCCAAAATGACCAGCATAGTCCGAAGAGTGACAATGATGAATCACACTCCGGACTTCCTCTTCGGGCACACATCTCCTAAAGAGGCCATCCTTGCCTCTCTTGAAGAGGTAAGGTTCTTCCCAAAAATAATCCTTGATGTCTCTGAAGAACCTCTTCTTTCCGTTGTAATCCAGCTCGTGGGGGACATACCCGCTAACAATGAAGTTCACAAAATCAGCATACCACGGGTCTCTCTCTTTCACTTGGACAGCCATCACGCAATCATCTCAGAGACAATCATCAATGGGAATATCTTCATGTCGCTCAATCCGAGATAAGTGGTCAGCCACTCCATTCTCCGTACCCTTCCTATCCCTTATCTCCAAGTCAAACTCTTGCAGCAAGAGAATCCATCTGATTAACCTCGGCTTGGCATCCTTCTTGGATAGGAGGTACCTCAAAGCAGCATGGTCAGTGTACACGATTACCTTCGACCCGACCAAGTAAGATCGGAACTTCTCGAAGGCGAAGACAATGGCGAGTAACTCCTTCTCAGTGGTGGAGTAATTGACTTGTGCATCATCCAAAGTCCGACTCGCATAATAAATGGCATGCAACTTTCTGTCTTTCCTTTGACCCAAGACAGCCCCGACGGCGAAATCGCTCGCATCGCACATAAGCTCAAAGGGAGCTTCCCAATCCGGTGGCTGAATAATAGGCAGAGAAATCAACGCCTTCTTCAGAGTCTCAAAGGCAGCCTCACACTCATGCTTGAACTCAAAGGGCACATCCTTTGCAAGTAATTCGGTCAAAGGCCTCGAAATCTTCGAGAAGTCCTTGATGAACCTCCTGTAGAACCCGGCATGTCCCAGAAAACTCCGGATTCCTTTAACATTCCTTGGAGGCGGCAACTTCTCTATCACCTCAACCTTTGCTCGATCAACCTCTATCCCTCTTCTCGAAATCTTGTGGCCTAACACAATGCCCTCTTGGAGCATGAAGTGGCACTTCTCCCAATTCAGCACAAGATTTGCCTCAACACACCTGTCCAACACTCGGCGCAAATTCATTAGACAAACGGGAAAGGAGGGCCCATGGACAGAAAAATCATCCATGAACTGTTGGTTGTAATGCTCTAGGATGTTCCGTGATATGACATTTTGACATTGTATTGATTCATTGATTTATGAATGCGTTACATTCCCGTTATATGATTGGCATGTTTGTTATATTTCGGTATCCTTGAATCATTATAGAATGATTCTAAAAACCCTGGTCAGTTATCATTGTGGGAACAATGATAAATTAAGACTAGCATGAGGTGTGATCGATGCATTGGATGCATATCACAATCATGGGTACTCGTGTTGCCGGTGCATTACATAAACCAAAAGGCATCCTACGGTATGCGAAGGTACCATATGGGCATGTAAAGGTGGTTTTCTCCTGGTCGCTAGGGTGAATTGGGATTAGAAAAAACCCCGAGTAGCCATCAAGAAAGCAAAAGTGGGAATGCAAGGCTAACCTCTCTAGCATTTGGTCGATGAACGGTAACGGGAAATGGTCTTTACGGGTATTTGAATTCAGCTTCCTATAATCAATACACATTCTCCAACCCGTAACCGTCCTAGTGGGTATCAATTCATTATGCTCATTTTCTACTACAGTGATACCTCCCTTCTTTGGTACAATTTGCACGGGACTAACCCATGCACTATCTGAAATCGGGTAAATGATACCCGCATCTAACAGTTTGAGCACCTCTTTCTTCACTACCTCCTTCATGGTTGGATTCAATCTACGTTGATGCTCAATGGAGGTTTTGGAACTATCTTCTAGATGAATGCGGTGCATGCAAAGGGATGGACTAATGCCTCTAATGTCATCTAGAGTGTAACCCAAGGCCTGTCTATACTCTCTAAGCAATGCAACTAATTCAGCTAGTTCCACATCAGTCAAGGCAACATTCACAATTATCGGGTAAGTAGAGTTAGGTCCGAGAAATTCATACCTAAGCCCTTGTGGTAAGAGCTTCAATTCCACCTTAGTCGCACTCTCTGGGTCCCAATCTTTCTTCCCGCTCGTCTCCACATCGGGCTGCTTGACTTGAATGGAGGAGACCGGAACTTGATGACTTGGAGAAGTTGATGGCTCCTCTCCGTTTTCCTCGTCCCTTAGCCAAGGGAACTC